TTACCTTGATGGGTATACCTGTCACGAGCGTCAAGGTTAGAACGAAGCCTGATGAATATAACTGTAGCCACAGCCAAGCCAAAATTTTCCATGACAACTGTAGCCATGCTCATCAACAAAGGGTTAAAGATTATAGGGCAAAGAAAATAGTACAGTTCTTTTAATGACTGTACATGGATGGCAGGATGTGCCCACAATATTTGCTGTGATTTTTTTTTTCTTTTTTTCTTTTTTTTTCCATACACATAGGCAGCTCTACAAGTGCAGAGTCACCAAGGAGTCAATTAATAGTCCTATCTACTTTACCTTTTTACCCTTTCCTTTTATTTTTGGAAAGATTCTTTATTTTATTTTTTATTATATGCATTATTGATGTTAGTAATTTGGTAACATTATAATCATCTTGTGGAGTCGTCTGTGTGTGACAAAATTTATAGTGCAAAGTACATACACCCACATATTAAATATTATACAAAGATGTGGTACATACTTCTATGAACGATCTTATATATTTTTTTATATGAATATTAATACTCATTTGTTTTTCAGGAGCTGAAAACCGAGGTCAGAAGAGGAAACTGGAAGAGAGCGAAGACTAGTGTCATACATGCAGCAAATGTGTGACAGCCTGTAGCCAGAGGAGCGAGTTTTGGCAGTAGCTTGCCTCGTTTGTCTCCGTGATGGGGCAGTATATATGGGCTCAGGGCCTAAGGCTTGTGTAATTCATGTATAAAGTAGAGTAAAGATATTTATTGTGATCAAAACAGTGGTATCTTTTTAGGGAGTATTAAGCAAATGATGACCACCAATCATATCTCTACATACCTGGTATCCAAAAGCTGCAGGCCAAACTTCTGTAACCATAGTTTTGCTTGGAGGTCAGTCTTCTTGCAGGTGTTTTTAAGCCCAGCCATTCACAGCCTTCCTTAGTGATATCACAGCTGGCTCATCTTTTCCCTAATTTATATCAGTGCCCCTCTCGGCCTGGCTAACCCTTGCCCTGACTGCCACTCGCCCTGCTTGACCCAACCCTACTCATCCATCACCCGGTTACGAAGGCCAGTGAGGTACATCTTGATACAAAAGTTGCGCCATAATGGGATCTTCTTCAAAACTGTTGTGTATATTGAGTAAACAACCCATATTCTTGGCTAAATGTGATCATTAAAACTAATGTAACATAGTTGGATTTGCCTTTTTGGAGTGGCAAATGTTCATCAACTGGAATATAGAGTGAACTTGATTTTCTGTCTCCGGTATTATAACATCATAAGGTTTATATTAGTTATTGTATTAGTTAAGATTTTAAAGTGGAAATATTTTAATAGTAGCAGACAAGACTGCAAGCAAAGCCTAGACAAATTAAAAAAAGAGAGCAATCCAGAACTTTGAGACTAAATGACTAAATGTCGTTACTGGCCTCAAATAACCGTGGTTGACAAAATGTGTGGCAGATTTGGCTAGTGTAAATGTTTGTATAGCTGGTGGCAGACAAGACATTAGGTATAGCTGGCAGCGAATATGGTTGATGCGTTTGCCCATCTAAACTGCTGTAAATCACTTGAAAGTTGCTTTTTTCCTTTGATGTTTGTATCTAGGATTTGTTAAGTCCTGGGAATGTTGTCAGAAATTTAACTTTTATCTGTTTGTTGTTTAATGATGGTTCAAATTTTTTGAAAATTTAATATCAGCAATAATATTTTCAGTTTGAATTATCATTGGTCGACAGTGTCTATATTTCTATATGTCTGAATAGTTATGATGGTTGGTTACAGGGGATGTATATAAACAATACAGAGTGTAACACGATCATCATCAATACCATAATTATAAGACACGTTGAAACATGATTGTCAAAGGCTACTCTTAATTTTTTAATTTTCATACTTAATATAGTATCAGATTGTTGTGTGGTAGTGCGGTAGGTGATGTATGTTCTGCGAGATCCTCAATCTGGCTGGACAAGACCTCCGTCATGGCTGCTGAGGCAGGGTTTGGGTGTCTGTCTCAATGGTAGGCCTTATTCCTGAGTCACGATGACACGAAACAGATCTCGGTTTGTATGTAGGTACGTGCATTTGATGTGGACGTACCTATGTAAAGGCCGAGTTTTGCTGGGGACTTTCCTGGCTTTAGAATAATGCTTAATGCTAAATAGATTTTGTAGAGGAGAAAAAAAAGTGTATTAGCAAATTCTAAAGGCCTAAATCATTTTGGAATGCCTGGAGTTAGAATACACCCAACACAGGAAGGGTTGTATCAGGAAGTTCCACATTTCTAAAGCAGAATTTTAAGAATCAGTTTGAATTGCAAGTGTTTAGATTTTTTTGTGTGTTTTTGATATAGAGATGTAAATTATAAAGAGTTGCACTGCCTTGAGTGTGGGTAAATGATCTCAAATTGAAAACCGAACCATATCCGGCTCCAGCAGCCATGATCCCTAACTGTGCGAGAGTGGATTGCATGTGTTCAGTGCACCATCCTGCCTTGATAGAGTAACGATTAGAGTGTGAAAAGTTAAATTGAATATGTAGAATATGTCAGATGGTTATGGCAGTGATGGGGAGCAGATGACTAGGCTGAGCACTACCACGGCACAGTTCTAAGAGTACAAAGTACAGAGTCCAGTTATCATTGAGCCTCCCGCCATGCCTCTACTGCAGCAGTGGTACTTGGGCACCACGAGGCACTACAGTTTCACTCCACACGAGCCTTTTTCCTGTGTGGGGTATGTTATCTTAGGGTGGTGTGAGGATTTTTATAAGATGGAGCGTGGCACACATTTGATGAAGACATACAGTACTTGTGTGATTTTAGGAAATAATCAGTTTAGTTAATGATCGCAAATAGATGTTATCAGCATTTACAATTGCAAATATTTAAGGTATTACACAAGTAGATGCTTAACGTTAGTAGATTAAGGGATTTTTTTTTTTCTTCCCCTTAATGCAGTGCAAGGGCATGCAGCATCTATATCATTCTTGTTTGTGCAGTGCCGTCCAGGCTTTAAAGAGAAAATGCTTTAGGAGTGAAAACGTTGCATTTAAGGAAAGTTAATCACATACTAATAGCAACCAATAGCAGTATTACCCACAAATGAGATGTGTGATATTTTGATGTAAGTGAACATCAGTTCAAGTTATTGGCCAGCAAGTTTAGTAAGTAATCAGAGTGTCACAGTAGATTAAAGTTAATTTAGGCTACCATGTCTTCCTCATTTGTGTGACTGTCCTTCTCGTCGCCTTCTGTGAGAACCTCATTATTATCCTGTGGTGTCTGTGATCCTGCTGCAAACTGATGCAACTGTCTTTTCAGAATAAGATATATAACGTAGTGAATTGGCATCAAGTGCTTGTATCTACACTGCTATTTAGTGAATGGAAGTATGAAAAGTTTCTCAATTACAGTATGGCAGAAAACAGTGTAAAATACGTTGTAAAATTGAGTAAAGCATATTCTGTGGAGGTCCAAGTGCTTGTTTGATATTTTCTATGTTGAATTTCCAAGTTGGAGGCATGAGGTGCATTCAAGGTCACACAAAACCACATGTTCTGGGCTCATTAGTGTGATCACCTCCCAGGGTTGTTAGTGGGGGTGGCATTCCGGAACTGAGTGTCCGACTTTCAGGACCTGAGCGTTGGACACACCGATAAAAAGAGCACTTCAAAGCAAAAAGACATTCATTTTAGAAAGGATGAAAAAATGATATTTATATTAAAAAGAAAAAATCATGAATGTACAAATTTCCTAAATAAAAATGATTAATGGTGAATTCAAACCAATGAAGAAGTCTCCACAGCTACCCCCTGGTGAGTAGAGCCATAGACCCCATGCAGAGAGGTGCCTTCCCTGAGGGGTGCCACCACGGCCTCCCGCCCCTCATTACACCTGATGGAGGCCCGTTTGTAGTTGATTTATGCCCAGTGTTCCTGGTTAGAATAACATGCTTTATGTTAGAGATTTTATTCAATTGATTAACCACTGTTTTCACTTATTTGGACAGGTTTCATTTACGATAAATGGATTGATCATGGTATACAGTTTCTTATTGCAAGAGCATATGACATCTTGATCCTTTTCTTACGGCAAAATATGACCCCTTTTTTGTACTTGATATTTGTAAAGTGAATGGGAAAATACATGGGCCACTTTTTAATGTGAAATGTGATACAGTGTGGAACACAACTGCTTGCAGGAATAATTACTGGTTCTCTGGTTAGATGAGTTTTTCATGGGTAATGAGTATATACAAAGTTGTTAATGAAAATTACAATGGTGAGCTTTATGATAAGTAACAGTAGTGGTTAAAGTAAATAAAATTGGCTGCAGTTTGATGATAAGTTATCATAGTGATAATATTAATGATTGATATCAGTATATATGAATAGTGACTGGTATGGCATTGGCTAATTGTTCATTACTATTATTATTGTTATTATCATTGAGCTGTTATTTATATTGATATTAAATAATCATGAATTACACCCATTTTATTATTTATATTGCTTTTTCATTGCTATTGTTATTTTTGCGAATGCTTCTTAAACATTCGCTCACAGCAAACAGTAAAGATGATAATGGTAGTAATTTTGATGGTAATTTTAAACATGAGTATTGATAACAGAGATAGTGAAAAAAAAATTACTGATAGTGATAAAGTCTTCATTATTTTTTATATATTGATTCCTGTTTTATATAATATTGTATGACAATTAAGCAAGTTATTACTCATTTATAATTACCAATTTACTATGGCAATAGCTGATGCTCCGTAACTTTCACTTCTTACCATTACGAGTACTTCTATTACTACTTACATGGATCTAAGCATGGCTACTTACTCCTTAGTTATGAATTTTGTCACTGTATTTTTATTACATTACAGAAATTACTTTGTATCCTGTCATTTATTTCCTTGTTTCAGCTCCGTACTGTCACTATTAAAATACTGTCATTATTATCACTATGGTGAACTTTGATTTTTGAGCCAGGTTTCAAATGCAATACCATTAACGGTACACGATAATATATCTTTATTTTTATTGTTATTATTATTTTTTTATAACCTAATGCCACGACAGTGCATTTTAATAAGTTACATCAGCAGTAGTTAAGATTTTTATATTAGCACTCATTAGTCAAAACGGAATACAGTTGAGAAGGTCAGGTCAGTGAACATTTCTTTCGTCAGGCTTGCATGCGGATTGGTGGACTCTAATACCCCCCTCCACCCTCCAGTGTTAATTTTCACTATTTTTCTTTTTCTCTTCTGTTTTTGTTTCATTGTCCATCATCCCTCTTGGAGAACATTCATAAATGTTCTCCAAGGATGCAAAGCGATCAGAAACGTTTGGTCATAGAGTAGGTTGATATTAAAGTGCAAGACCTGGTATTTGGAGAGATTTCCTGTAGTGAAAAGTAACTACGGTTTGCTCTAGTTACGTTTTAAGTGCCATGTTACAGACAATCTCTAAAGGAGACTAAATTTTTAAAAAGGAGTGTAAATTGTACAAAATAAGTAAATAGTCTTCTAGTGCCTCACTATTTTGGCAGAAATGAAACATCTGTTCAAATAAAGAAACAATGCATTGTCTATTGTGTTTTCTTGTGTGACTTTTAACTGGAAATATTTTTGGTATTTGTAAATTTTGATAATATACCAGTTGATCACTTTCCCTTGGGCCATTTGTATTATGATATTAAATGTTCTTTTTCCTGATGCGAAACAGATCTTTTTCTTTACTGACTCTATCCTTTTGATTATTATTATTATTATTATTTTTTTTTTATTATTAATTCTTTTTTTTTTTTTGTGATTCTTTTTCTCAAAGTTAGCAGAAGTCTTGATGACCCATAAGATGAAAGGCATTTATATATATATATATATATATATATATATATATATATATATATATATATATATATATATATATATATATATATATATTATGTATGTATATGTATATGTATATGTATTTGTTTATATTTATATATATTATATATATAGATATATAGTCGTGTTTGTCATTTATTTATCTGTCATCTCAAGCATGGTACCTTCCTTGCCCCCACCCCAACCCCACCCCCTCCCTCTTGTCACACTATCACCTTGTCCTAATCACTTACACTAAACCAGCTTCTTAGCATCATTTATTTCCTTGATGTTTTGACTAATATTTTGGTAGCACTAGCTTCAAGGAAGGATTATTATAGGAAAATCTTTCATTTGCCTTATATTTTATCACAGCAGGTTATGATTAAGTTTGAACCACTTAAAGGTTGATGAATGACAAATCTGAATTTATTTCCAGTAGAGTAAACTGTCACAATTGGCTTCTTATTAAGAAATTACTCTTGAGATAAAGCACTAAGAACCTTGGCATCCTTAAATGACAGTTTCACATCTTGAGGAGTTCAAACTCTAACATAGATTTCTGCTTCCACGTCCGGTGAACACAGTTTTATTCTAAGCTTGTAGTTCAGTGAATGTACATACAGTATTATACTATAGAGATCTCTTGTGTACTCATGAGTGTAGTTTCAGTGAGCCTTTCATGTGCATTGCATTGTCCCCATTGTCAGGTAAAGATGACACATTGATGGCAGTTACAATATAGGAGAGTTTACCCATAATATGAAGAACTGGTATTTAGTTGTGGTAAAGGAAGATTCCTAAATATTTGAGTGAATTAGTTTGCTCCTTAAAAAGCCAAGACTTACATATGACATACTTGAGACTTGAATGAAAGAAGATAAAGAGAAAAGTAGTCCTAACACCTGTTCATGTCATGTAGATCTGAAGTTTTATGTGGAGTCCAACTTAGCGGAGAATAGGACGAAGTTAAAACTTATACCCTACTTTCTTTATCTCCACACATCCACTTCCTCATAAAATTACGTATGTGGTACCATTCATAGATGTGGATTTTACGTTTTTGTAGATTGTGTTTTGGTCTTAAGAGTTTTCATGGTATTTTGGACTTACAGATCAGTGAACCAAAGTTTATTTACCTTCTCAAAAAGTGTTAGCATGTATATATCAAACAGTTTTAGACACAAGCATATACAGCTAAAGCAAAACATGTGTTAATACTCCACATTTTATTGAAAATCAAGATACTGTGTGTGTTTAATGCATTAGATGGGACCGGAAACTCTAGAACATCTCCAATATTGTGTAATTTTTACCTGCAACTTCATGTGATTTACAAAAAAGAACAAAAGTATTTTTGTACTTTATTACACTAAATTGGATTTGAGTACAATGCTCATTGATACTGTGAACTCGTAAATGCTAATTCTGCTTTGGGAGGTGATCACGTGATGGTGTTCCCAGGAGGTTGTTTTAATGAGTAATGTAGAAACCAAGTTGCAAATACACTTTCATTTTTTGTAACCAGCTGTTTGATAAACCTTTTAGATTTAACCGGCTCTGGAAAAGTGGATTCTAAAAACTATTATGTGTAACTTTTGCTTCACATCCTTGAAAACATATTAAAG